TGTTGTTGTTGCTATTGTTGTGTTTGTTGTTGTTGTTGTTGTAGTTGTTGTTGTTGTTGTTGTTGTTGTTGTTGTTGATTGCTGATTGTTGATTGTTGATTGTTGATTGTTGTTTGTTGTTTCTTGTTTGTTGTTTGTTGTTTGTTGCTTGTTGTTTGTTATGTGTCGTTTGTTGTTTGTTGCTTGTTGTTTGTTATGTGTCGTTTGTTGTTTGTTGTTTGTTGTTTGTTGTTGTCGTCGTCCCGCCCGAGACCCGCCCCGCGACCCACCCGCGACCCACCCCGCGACCCACCCCGCGACCCACCCGCGACCCACCCGCGACCCACCCGCGACCCACCCCGCGACTCGCCCGCGACCCACCCCGAGACCCCCCAGGCGACCAACCCGCGACCCCCCGGCGACCCACCCGTGACCCACCCGCGACCCACCCCACGACCCACCCGCGACCCACCCGCGACCCACCCGCGACCCACCGCGACCCACCCGCCACCCACCCGCGACCCACCCCGCGACCCACCCAAAACTTTCGGCGCCTGCGGCGGGTTTCTGTCGCATTCGTTCCAGGTGGAGAACCTGCGACCCACCCGCGACCCAAACCGCGCCCGCGACCCACCCGGGACCCACCCGCGACCCGCCCGCGACCCCCCCGCGACCCACCCAAAATTTTCGGCGCCTGCGGCGGGCTTCTTTTGCATTCGTTCCAGGTGGGGAACCTGCAACCCACCCGCGACCCAAACCGCCCATTGTTCAAATCAAAACTTTTGCGGCGGGCTGTTTTTGAATTCTTCCAGGTGGAGGTGGAGAGCCCGCGATCCACCCGCGACCCAAACTACGTTCACTGAACAAGCCAAAACTTCGGAGCCTGCGGCGGGCTTCTTTTGCATTCGTTCCAGGTGGAGAACCTGCGACCCAAACCGCGTTCAGTGTACAAATCAAAATTTCGGCGCCTGCGGCGGGCTGTTTTTGAATTCCTTCCAGGTGGAGGTGGAGAGCCCGCGACCCACCCGCGACCCAAACTACGTTCACTGAACAAGCCAAAACTTCTGTTTTTGCATTCGTTCCGGGTGGCCCACCAGCGATCCCCCCCGCGCTGCTTGTGTTTTGCTCGCATTCGTTCCGGGTGGCCCACGTTGACTCTACAACAGCACATCGGCGCCGCCTGCGGCGGGGCTGTGTCTGAACACGTTCATTGACAATCCAGTTGCCTGCTGCCGCGGAGGAGGGGAGGAGGAGCAGGGCGAGGAGCAGGAGGACGACGACGACGACGACGACGACGACGACGACGACGAGTACGAGGACGAAAAAGAGGCCGACGACGAGGGCGAGGAGGAAAAGGAGGGGGGGACGGAGGGGGACGACGAGAGGAAGGAGGAGGAGGAGGAGGAGGAGGAGGAGGAGGAGGAGGAGGAGGAGGAGGAGGAGGACGACGACGACGGAAAGGAGGAGGGGGGAGGATCGGGATGGGGGAGGAAGAGGAGGAGGAGGAGGAGGAGGAGGAGGAGGAGAAGGAGGAGGAGGAGGAGGAGGAGGAGGAGGATGAGGAGGAAAAGGAGGAAGAGGAGGAGGAGGAGGAGGTGGAGGAGGAGGAGGCGAACGACGACGACGACAACGAGGACGAGGACAGGACGCGGACGAGGGAGAGGAGGAGGAGCAGGAGCAGGAGCAGGAGGAGGAGGACGAGGAGGAGGATGAGGAAGGCGCCATCGACAAGGAAGGTGAGGGCCACGAGGTCCGCCGGCTCGACGCCCGCGTCGCCCGCGCCCGCCCCCTCACTCCTATCCGCAGGGGTACGTATTTGAAGTATTTTGGAAGTGATCGAGCCCTGCGTTCCGATCTCTTGTTTCCTCGGATCGCGCCATCAAGGCGCGACGGCTCATTCCAGCCAGCGATTGTCCAATGCCAAAAACTGAGGAGGGAACATGGATCTGATGATGACAATGACGACGATGAGGATGACGACAATGAGGAGGATGCGGATGAACACCAGGAGGATGAGGGCATGGAGGAGAGAGACGAGAAGACGGAAGATAACGAGGACAAGGGGGGGATGAGGAGGAGGAGGAGGAAGAGGAGGAGGAGAAGGAGGAGGAGGAGCAAGTGTAGGAGAAGGAGGTAGAGGAGGAGGAGCAGCAGGAGGAGAAGGAGGAGGAGGACAAACATAACGGTAGGAACATGACGAAGAACCGATGATCAGGAGGAGGAGGAGGAAGAAACCGACGACGACACGGATATGGTGAGGGCGGTGGAAAGCCAGAAGAATGATAGGAAAATCGGAGGGTGACGGCGAGTAGCAGAACGTCATGGACAGCGCTTCATAAACGACCGCCCTTTGCGGGGGGGAACACAGCACCCAGCAGGCCTCCGACCCGCAACCTCGGGGGCCGACCGGCAAGCACCCGAACCTGCGATACGTGCCATCCACCGCCAGCGTGCCAGGAGGCACGAGCTTCGGGGGCCCCGGTCCTGGGAACCTGAGCGTTGGCCGTCGGTCGGAGGAACCAGGTCGAACCATGAAGTAGGAATGCGCTGGAAAAAGATTGGGTGTCCGCCCGCCCCCTGAGGAGGAGGGAAGCGGGAAGACCGCTCGACCCTTGAAGTAGAAAAGGCGGCTAAAGTAGGTTGGGATCTGGGAATCCAGAGATACCGACTTTCAGCGATCGGCGTGGAATGGGCCTGGACCCCAGGACAAGCACGACGAGGACGGCGACGAGCACGACGCACGACGAGGGCGGGGAGGACGGGAGCGCCGCTCACAGACCGAGCGGGCGGCGGCCTGCAGCGATCCGCGGAGGGCGCCCGCCAGCCAGCACCGCAGGGTGCCACCTGTCGGGGAGCCCGGCAGGAGGAGGAGGAGGAGGAGGAGGAGGAGGAGGAGGAGGAGCAAGAGGAGCAGGAGAAGGAGGAGGAGGAACAGCAGCAGCAGGAGAAGGAGAGGGCGAGGAGAGCGCGAAGAGAGGAAGATGAGAAGGAGGACGAGGTGGTGGTGGTGGTACTCAGCCTCTGGTCACTGCTGCACCCTGACAGATATTGCATGACGACCGCTGTGCGCCTCAAGCGTGGAAAACTCTCGAAAACGTTTCAAAACTCGGTACCCCGCGAGGAGGAGGAGGAGTAGGAGTAGGAGGAGGAGGAGGAGGAGAAGGAGGAGGAGGAGGAGGAGAGGAGGAGGAGGAGGAGGAGGAGGAGGAGGAGGAGGATGAGGAGGAAAAGGAGGAAGAGGAGGAGGAGGAGGAGGTGGAGGAGGAGGAGGCGAACGACGACGACGACAACGAGGACGAGGACAGGACGCGGACGAGGGAGAGGAGGAGGAGCAGGAGCAGGAGCAGGAGGAGGAGGACGAGGAGGAGGAGGAGGAGGAGGACGACGACGACGGAAAGGAGGAGGGGGGAGGATCGGGATGGGGGAGGAAGAGGAGGAGGAGGAGGAGGAGGAGGAGGAGGAGAAGGAGGAGGAGGAGGAGGAGGAGGAGGATGAGGAGGAAAAGGAGGAAGAGGAGGAGGAGGAGGAGGAGGAGGAGGAGGAGGCGTGGAGCGACGGCTCGCTCGCGGCCCCCGCCCGCCGAGGACGGCACGGGCGGCGGCGAGGGTGGCGGGAACGGCAGCGCGCCCAGGGCGTGGACCCCGAAGACGTCGAGAGACCTCCGTCCTCAAAGCCAGCCTTCTCTCGGCGGCCGAGCGAAGGGAGGAAGCGAGGAGGAGAAGGCCCTCTCAGAGTCTCAGGGGGCTCGGAAGTCTCCGGGCCTTCCGAGAAGTCTCCCGAGCGTTCCCCGAAGACGCCGAGAACCTCCCAGAAGGCGCGAGGGCGTCCGAGAAGCCCCGCCGCCTTCTGAGAAGGCCTTCTCCTTCTCATCCCCCCCCCCCTCGCTCGCCGCCGATTGCTCCCTCGGACCTCGATCCTCTCGGGCGGTGCTGGCGACGGCGACGGCGGCGGCGACCACTGCGCCGCGACGACTACGACGGCGGCGACCGACCGACCGACGGCAGCGACGAGCGGCGGCCTGCGGCCGCGCCGTGCGCCCGGCGCAGCGCGGCCGCCAGCCGCCCCGCCGCCTGCCGCCGCTGCCGCTGGCCGCGGACCTCGCGGCGCCAGTGGAGCCACACGGCGCCGCAGGCGGCCTGCGGAGAGGCCGCCGCCGTCGACGGCGGCGCCGACGACGCCGACGACGAGGTCGACGATGACGACGACGACGCCGCCGACGCGGTGGACGACGACGGCGACGACGACGACGCCGACGAGAAGGACGCCGACGGCGAGGCCGAAGACGACGAAGGACGTCTCCAGCCTCGAAGTCGTCCTTCCCCCGACGCCGGCGACGGCGCCGACGCCGACGGCGCCGACGACCAGGCTCGGTCAACATCGAATCGGGAAATCGCATCGAAGCGACATCTTCGTCGTATCGACATGCATCGGCACGGAGTCGGAATCGGACCAGGTCGGCTTCGCCAGGATGCGTGCAAAGCAGCGCCATGCAAGCATCAGGCCGCATTGGAGCGTCGGAGTCTCGGAGTCGACTCGGATCGGGCTGGCCAGAATCAACATCGAATCGGATCGATCAGATCGAAATGGGCCCTGCCGCCGTCAACGACGACGTCGACGATGACGCTGACGCCGCCGACGACGTCGACGCCGACAACGACGTCGCCCACGCTGGATGGGCCCCGGAGGGCTCCAAGGAGTTTGAGCGGATTTCGGGGTCATCGTCGTCGCCGCCGTTGTCGTCGCTGCTCGAGGATCGAGGTTCGAGGATCGGGCTGGGCATTCTGGTCAGAACGCGCCCATTGGGCGTCGCTTCATGGGGGGATGCGATCACTGGAGGGGGGGAGACAGGTACACTTTTCGGACCCGAGTCCCCCTCTTGGGGCCTCAAGGGCCCCTCGGGGGGCCCCTTTAGGGGGCCCCCTGCTCTGCAGCCCCCGCTGCCCCCCCCCCCCCCCCCAAGTATCGCATCCCCACGACGCGACGCCCAAGCCCCTGCAAAGGTCTTCTGGCCGACTCCGGAAGACTCCGTGCGCTTTCGGGGGCTCTCGTCGTTGGCTTTGGCGGTCGTCGGCGTCGGCGGCCGCGGCGGTGCAATCGTCGCCGCCGGCGACGGCGTGGCCGTGCGGAGCAGCGGCGTTCGCGCCGTGCGGCCACGGTCGGCGTCGGCGGCGGCGCTGTCGCTGCCTTCGCCGTCGTCCGCGGCGTCGTCGGCGGCGGGCACGGGTGCCATCGGAGGCTTCCGAAGGGAAAGACCTACATACAGTCAACCCGCGGCCCGCCCCAAGGGTACACTAAGGGGCTGGCCAGCGAAAGCTGCCAGGGATGGACCGAAGGGGCAAGGATGCAAGGGTAACCTAGGACAAGTTGCTCATCCTTACTCCGCGGGTTGACTGTAGTGAACCTCGAGCCCCTTGCGATCCCAAAGTGGCACATCTCCCAGCTTTTGGTCAGTAGCATCGGGGATCTTCCAAGGCCGGCGGGTGCAGCAAGCAAGTCGGGCGCTCTCGAGCGCTCGGAGGGCGCTCCCGAACATCCTCGGGCGAGTCGTTCTGATCCGAGGGCTGCCTGGCGGGAAGCGCCACGACAAGTGGCAACGCTGTCTGGCCGCGCGCGACGTCGGCTTCGTAGGGGCACGGCGCGACGGTGATCGCGGAGATCGCGGCGAGAATTCGACGGACTGCGGCGAGGGCACCTGTGGACTACCTATTTGACCCTGAACACCGGGACGACTACTCGGCCACCGTGCAGGAGGAATAGGCGAAGGGGAGCAAGATCCAGCGCTGGCTTGAAGACCAATGTGGCGCCGATTGTAGGCCTGCTTGCCCGGCTGAGGAGCCAGAGTGCCACCGTCGAACGACAGTCCCCTCGGGAGGAACTTCCGGGACGGGATGTTGCATCTGATTCGGCGGCACGCCAGAGGGGGAAAGTGAGAAAGGGCAGGTCTTCGCAGAAGGCTGCGAGGCTTCTGACAAGCCCGCGGCCCTTCTGAGAAGCCGTCTGTGTTTTCGGAGAACGCTCAGGAAGCGCCTTCTGAGAAGGCCCGTCCCCCCCCAGCCTTTCATCCTGACCGCCCCGCCAGCTCATGTGAACACGGCGCCCGATGAAGAGGCAGTTGCATTCGCCAGAGATGTGTGGAGCCAAACTCAGACGAGCTCAAGAGTCGGGCTGCTCGTGGGGCTCGCGCCTGAGTGCGCTCAATCACGCAGCCTCCGAACTCCTTGGCAGCCGCCCGATCGGGGAGGCCAACCAACACTGGCCCCCTCCGAAGACCCACTCCGCCCCACTCCCCACGACACTTCGCCAGGTGCAAACGAAGGAAGTGGTGGTGGCGGTGCTCGCTTGGGGGCCTCTGGTCGATGTCTGCAACGATCGAGTTGGCCCTTCCGTTATGATGGAAATTGGGCCGCCTGTTGGTATTCGATTCGGCCTCTGACGCCGTGTGCCAGACAGCGTCGGGCTAGGAGCCGCCTAGGCCTTGGGCAAAGGGCATGCGATTCACGACCGCGAGCCCATGCCCGTCCAGCGGGGAAAGACCCGGTGCGAATATGGAAAAGCTAAGGTATCGGGGTGAGACGCTAACTACTTCGATAGGGGGCGCGCTGGAGACTCCAGATTCTGCACGAGCAATACAAGAGCAGACTGAACGACAACGCACTGGGGGATTTCATGCAGCTACGTGTTGTACCCCGTGGCGCCTATCCCGTAGGCGTTTGCGGACTCTTCTTCTGCATCGTTGCCTTGATGTCGCTTTTGTGCCTCTGGACAGTTGTCCTCGTTTCGCAAGCTTCCCGTCGCGGCCACCCATGCCTTGAGGGTGCAAGAGGGCCCCCTTGAAAAACTTCAATGACATCGGTAATTAGTTTCTCGCTTCGTGTCATTCCAACTAGTCTTCGGCCCATCCTGCGTCCATGCCTGCATTGCGCGTCAGAGTTCCTCGGATGCCTGTTGGGGTCTCTCGGGTAATCTCTGGGGAACCTCTTGGAGGTAGTTTTGGAGCCTCTCGGGACCTCCTGGGGGCCAATTGGGGCTCTCTGAGCACCTCTTTGGGGCATCTCGGGGGCCTCTTGGGTCCTGGCCTCGTGGTGGTGTCAGGGGTCCCTCTGTTCGAATTCGCCTTCCGGGGCTTCTCCTGGGGCTCTCTTGGAGCGCTCTTGGGCGGGGATGGGCGAACCTTGGGCTGTCTTAGGGCGTTCTTGAGCCGCTGGGGGCACTCTTGGGGGCCTCTTTGGCTGTCTTTGGGGCGATCTTGGGAGTCTAGCGGAGAGCTTGGGGGTCTCTGGGGCCGTCCTGGACGCCACGAAAACCAAACAAGCGAGATTGTATAAACTTCATAAGAATGGAACGATTCTTGCCCCTGGCGGCCCTCTTGCAGGTCCTCTTGCAGCCGTCCTGGGACGTCTTGAAGCTAATTATCTGGGGACGTCCGGAAGCCACGCGTGGCATCTTGAAGTCTTTCGGTGTTTCTTTGATGGCACTTAAGGTCATCGTGGCGGCCTCTGGAAGTCCCCTGAGGCCGCCGAGGACGCCCCTCGAGGCTCTGACAACCCCCAGGACCTCTTGGGGCAATGTTTGACGCCGGGTGGGAGGGATTTTGAAAACCTGTGCTGCCCCTGGGCCCGGGGACCCCAACGCCGGTTATACGCAGCACCCCGCAGTTGCGGATGAGAGTGAGGGGGCGGCGGGGACGTCGGCAGTCTGCGATGCTTTGAAGAAGCCCGCCGCAGGCGCAAAATGTTTCAAGCTATACAACGAGCCCGCCGCAGGCGCCGATTTTTTGGTTAAAACAGTGTAGGGGGTCGCGGGTTGGGTCGCAAGTGGGTCGCGGGTGGGTCGCGGGCCAAATGGCGGGTGGGTCGCGGGCCGGGTCGCGGGTGGGTCGCGGGTGGGTCGCGGGTGGGTCGCGGGTGGGTCGCGGGTGGGTCGCGAGCGGGTCGCGGGGTGGATCGCGGGTGGGTCGCGTGGTGGGTCGCGGGGTATGTCGCGGGTGGGTCGCGAGGTGGGTCGCGGGTGGGTCGCTGGCCGGGTCGCGGGGAGGACGACGACAACAACAACAGCAACAACAACAGGCAGAATCCTCACCACGGATCCGCACTTCAGCCACGCACCCAGGGACCATGAATGACCGTTCGGCCTTCTCACTCTGACCATCTCAGATCACATCATATCATAGCACATCACATCATGCCACATCGTACCATATCATATTGTATCTTTTCAACCAGATCATAGCATATCATGTCATGCCGTATCATGTCATGCCGAATCATATCACACCAAATCATATCATACCATATCATATCATGTGATGTCTTGTAAACATACGTACATATTTACATATAAGTTATATAAACTGGGCTCGGCTGGAAGAGGAGAGGGAGCAGGGGGAGGGAAGGATGATGATGATGATGATGATGATGATGAGGAGGAGGAGGAGGAGGAGAGGATAGCGAGCAACAGGCGGGGGCCCAGAAAGACGGGATGAGCGCGGACGGTGGAACAGGAGGAGGGGGCGGCAGACGGAGTAAGCAGAGGATGAGTTTCAGTGGGACAAGTGAGCTCGCCGAGGTGCTGGCCACATCCCTCATTCCATATGGCGCTGCCGCTTCGCTGGCGGGGTTTCCACTTGTTCGGTCATGGCCATCTCGCCCATCGGTGGCCACATCCCAATCCAGGAGTAGCGCCACCACCGCAGCGCTGGCCACACTCTGCAATCGGAGCGGTACTGCGCCTCAGCGCCAGCCACGACCCTCATTGCATATGTTAGTGCTGGCCGCGCATCAGCCTCATTCCTGGTTGGGATTGGTGCTCTCGCCCATGCGCTGACCATATCCCTGTCTACGAGACGCGCTGCCGCCCACGCGCTGGCCCCTCTCTCATTTGGAATGGTACTCTTGCAACAGCGCCCGCCAACCATATCCATGCTTGAGTATTGTGCTGTCACTCCGCTCACACAGTTCCCACAGACGTCATTGAATAATTCTGTTCTCGCCCGAGCTCCAGCCACATCCCTGTCCGGATACGCTGCAACCGCCCCGGCGTCGCCTGCATCCCCGAGTGGGATTCGTACCCCTGCCTGAACGTCGGCCACATCCGCCTTCCGCGAGCGTTACCTTCAGCGCTAAACAATTGACGATCGCACCTGCGTCTCGCTGATGTTGGGCGATTGCCGTATCTGGCGTCGAGCTTCGACCGCACGCGCCAGGTCCGTTGCCAGAGGGGGCTCCGTCAGGTTAGCCTCCCCAGCGTCAGGTTAAAGGGTGGTTTGCAACAACATCGCGATTACATCAGCAGGCTTACCACAGCAGCCATAAACACCGCAGATGCAAGGATCAAGATTAGAAGGCGAAGCGCAGCGAGCCTTAAAACCTTGTGTATATATAAATAAATGAAAACGAGGGTGCACTGGTGGCTGAGCTCAGCTGGCTCGGCCTGCACGCGCGCACGTGGTCGAGCCCAGCGCAAACGTAAGCCATCAGCGTCTGGATCGAAACCCTCAGATGCTTCGCAGAACCGCGCGACAGCGCGGTGGCCCCGCACGCATTGCAGCTGCATTGTGCTGCAGACCTTCGCAAATTCGAGGGGAGCGCTAGGTGCGATATTGATCGGTGTAGCTGGAAAGCCATCAGGATGGGGCGAGCCGGAGCCTCGGTGCTGACTGGACAACGCTGAGGTGAAGACCAGATCCCTAGCGCTCTACATCCTCGCAGTGAGGACCCAGACAGGCAGACAAAGCCACGCCCAAATGGCGCCCCTGCAAGGAAAAGTACCGACAGGCGGCGACGTGCTCATGCGGGCACGTGCAAGAAGCACTTCGGGGGGATGGACTGCAGACCAGGGAGATCAGTTCGGTACAATTTGTAGAGAATGTGCCCGACTGCACTGAACTCGAAGCGCGTATGCGGGAAGGAAAGACGCGACAGGCAAAAGCCCTGGCTCCGAAGGAAGCTCCGTGGCGGGACGAGACGCCTCCAGAGCCACGCGCGCACCACCCTTCGATGGATCGCGCAAGACACTTTGCGTGCGAAGCCAACTCGCGCAAGAGACTCCGCGGGAAGGGAGCTCGCAGCGAAGAGAGCGGCGCACCAGCTTGCCGCCTGCTTGCTGGGCCGACCAGTCCGGCGGCGCCGCCCTGCTTCGCCCAGTATTCCCCAAGTCGAAGGCCTGGTGGTACCATTTATGTAAGGGTGCTCTCAAGCATTCTGGAGAGATTTGTTCTAGACCTAATGGTCCCAGGCGGTTCGGAAAGTGCTTCGGCCAAAACTTGCCCGCTGACTGGGACGATCCGGCCTCACTGGCGGCCGTTCGGGACGATGAGGGCATGCCCAGAAAGCTCTCGGCGAGGCGCAGCTGGTGGAAGGCACCCCGAGGCGGGAAACGTCCCATAACCGACGAAGCCGCCCCGAATCTCTCGAGAACCTCCAATATCTCCCCCAAGTCCGTCTCCTCTTACTTCTTCTCCCACTCCTCCTTGCCCTCCTCCACCCTCTGGGCCCCCCACCCGCATCTCATCTTCCTACTCCTCCTGCTTCGTCTCCTCCTCCTCCTCCTTCTTCTCCTTCTCCTCCTCCTCCTCCTCCTCCCATTTCGTCTCCTTCCTCTCCTGCTCCTGCTCCTGCTCCTCCTCCTCCTCCTCCTCCTCATCCTCCTCCTCCTCCTCCTCCTCCTCACACTTCGTTCCCTCCCACTTCGTCTCCTCCTACTTCGTCTCCTCCTACTTCGTCTCCTCCTGTTTCGGCTCCTCCTCCTTCGTCTCCTCCTCGCCCCCTCCCCCCCTGGGGCCCCGCAGCCTGCAGCTGCGCGGCACGCCGCCTCGCGCCGCCGCCCGCCGCGGCGGCCCGCCAGCACACGAGCGCCAGCCGCCGCAGCGCCGCGGCCTCTCCGGGCGGGCCCCGGGGGGGGTGGCAACGGCAGGAGAATGCCATGCTCACCAATACTGTGTGTGCGTCGCCTCCGCCGCAGGGGCGGCGCGCGCACCGAGAACTCTGATAGTGTATGCGTCGTGGCGGGCGCTTTCTGGCCACACCGCTCGGGAAACGATGCGCTACAAGATGGGTGTACTATGTGTTCGGGTCGGACGCGTGCCTCCGAGGAGGACATATAGTATCAGTATGTCTCTGTGCGTCTTGGAGGAGGAGGAGGAGGAGGAGGAGGAGGAGAAACAGGAGGAGGAGGACGGGGAGGACGAGGAGGACGAGGAGGACGAGGAGGACCAGGAGGACGAGGAGGAGGAGGACGAGGAGGACAGTCATCGGCACAGGCACAACCTCTCGGAGGTCACGCGCGGACCTCCCGAAAGCTCACGCCTAATGCCGGCGCATGCTCTTCCAAGCCCGCTGCGTTGAGGGGGGGGCGACAGGGGGGAGGGGACTCGCTCAAGGGAGCGGCACCCTCGATTTCGGCGACGATCAGAAGCGGGTCGTACGCGAGATGGCATAGCGACCTTACGCGGCAGGCTTACGCGGGCCGCCAGCGCGGCACGCCACCTTGGAAGCGAAGGCGCTTACGCGCGACCGCACGCGGGAAGCTTGCGCGCCACCGCCGGCGCAGTTGGACCCGTCGTCTCGCCTCGCCGATCGATCGGCGATATTGGTCTCGACGGGGAACCGCCGCGTTCCCGGATGGGGTCGGGCAGCCAGGCCCCGATCGGCGAGGGGTGGGCGATTGGGGGTCGATGCCCCCCCCCCCCTCTGGGCCCATCCCCCCCGGCATGGCCCCCGACCTTCCGCTCCCCAGCTCCGACCAGGCAACGGAGCGCGTGGATTTTGCACGGAAGCGGGATCCGCCGCTGATTCGCGCGCCTCCATCCATGTTTGCGCTTCCTCGAATGATATCCCCCCGCTTGGTCCTCACACCCCTCTTCGACGCCTGGTGGCTTTTGGATCGTAACTCGGGCCTCTGGCGACGGTTCGGAACGATCCAAGCACCCCCGCGCAGCTGCTGGAACGCAAACGGGGGCGAGAAAACTTCCCAGAAACGACGCGAACGCCCGAAAGCTCCGAATCCAAGAAAGTCCCCCCCCTGTCGCTGCCACTGGGGCATGCACGACGACGGAGATCTGCCCTCCGAACCCAGAGCGGACCTGGATGGGCCCAGAGAGAGAGGGGAAGGCGAAGCAGATGCGTTCGCGCCATGTCTGACATCCTACCCCTCCCACGCGTCCCTTCCCGCTGCCCTGTTCTCTTTCTCTGTCCGCCGACGCGTGCCGTGGCGGACCTGGGCCTCCCAAGCGGACACCACAGTGTCCTGCGCAGTCGGAAAAGTGGCCAGTCGAGGGCGGGGGCGGGGAGGGGAGGCAGGGGTCGGACGATGGGCCTGTTTTCCACCACCACCACCACCATAAGTCGGAGGGGGGAAGGAGGCGAAGGACGAGGAGGAGGAGGACGACGAGGAGAAGGAGAAGGAGGAGGAGGAGGAGGAGGACGAGGAGGAGGAGGAGGTGGATGGGAGAGGGGGAGGACCCCCTCCCCCTCCAACTTGTGGTGGTGGTGGTGGAAAACAGGCCCATCGTCGGAGGCACGGGTCGGAGGGAGGAGGCGGGGGAGGAGCGGCGGCACCTTCTTCGGAGGGCGGCAGGGCGGGAGGCCCCAGACCCCCGACGCCGTCCTTCTTTCGCAGCGTCGGCCCCCGGAGGTCTGGGCCCCTCCCCGGGGGCCGGCTTTTCATCCTGAGCCGTTGCTTGACGGCCCCGAGGCCCGGGAGGGGCCCCCAGAGGCCGAAGAGAGCGAGAAACCTCCCGTCGTGATTTTTTTGGCACAGCGCGAGGAAATCGGGGGGGGGGGCGAAAGAGCCTGATTTTTCCTGTAGATTCAAGCAAGTTTACTTGCATGGCGTTCGCCTCCTCCCCTCCCCCCCCCCCGCTCCCCCGCCCCCCCCTCCCTCGCCCCTCTTCAATGGAATACGAGCGTGCAAATGCCTTTCGCCTTGCGTGATTTCCGCACGTCGAGTCGCTTGCGGCTGGCTTCAGGTTCAGGCCCCCCCCCCCGTCCATGCAAGTGAACTTGCCGGAATCGATAAAACAAATGCTCAAAGATGGGGGCGCAGGCGCGCAGGCCAGGCGCGAGGGGCTGCACTGCGGGCAGGCTGGCGGCGCCTTGCGGCCGTGCAGCCCGCCGGCCGCCCGGGCGCGCAGCAGCTGGAGCTCCCCGCGCGCGGCGGCGGCGCTCCTGCCCAGCGACACGGCGCCCTGCGTCCGAGCGGCGCTCCGCCGCCGCCGCCGTCGGCGCCGCCGCCGGCGTCCCGCAACCCCAGGCGCGCTCGCGTCGTGAGCAGATCACGGCTGGAGGTTTCGGAACGTCTGCGGCGTCCTGGGGCCTTCGCGGGGCCCCCCGACCTTCACAAGAATGCCTATAGGACGAAGGACCGGCCCTGGGGAAAGGGTCGGGACTTCCGGGACCCCGTGTGGACAAGAATCAAGACCTCGGCCGTCTTGAGGGGGAGCGCTGGCGCTCCGCCGCCGCGCGCCGCCGCCGCTGGCGTCTGAGCTCTGCTACAAAGTCCATCTGCAGGCGTGAGGAAAAGTCGTTGTAATCGACCCTGCGCTGGAGGATGCCAGCTCTGAGTTTCACTCCACGAGGAATGCCCCCTTGGGATGGCGGGGCCGCGGTTCGGGCCGCAGTGGACCACCAGTGAGGGGTAACGATACGGGGGGACCGGCTCAGGGGAGGAAGTGTCGATCTGGAATCGGCGACACATCGCCGATATATCGGCGAAAGGTGCCCGATAATCGACTGCTATAACAACGTCGGGAGGTAGGTGATCCTCTGCACGGGCTGAACAGAACCTGCAAGGTCATACTATGTATCATGGGGTTGCAGGTCGCCCAGGAAGGCCATACTTCAGGTTTGGCTAACAATCGCCTTTTTTTTTTGTGTGTGTGTGTTTTTGTTTTTTCTCTCTCTCTCTCTATTTTTCTGTCGTTTCATCATCATCTCTCTGTCTCGCTCTCCCTCTCGCTCTCTCCATATCTTCCTCTCTCTTGCTCCCTCCCTCCCTCTCCCCCTCTCTCGACTCATTGGTTCCATCCTCTCTCCCTCACGCTTTCTCCATATCTTCCTTTTTGTTGTTTCTCTTTCTCTGTCTCTCGGGTCCTCGGAAGGGCCCAATCGCCGCCGCGGCTGGACTCGGTCGGGAGAGCCCGGGTCGGGACCGCGGACGGGAGCTCGCCTTCCTCCGTAGTTCGGCGAGTTTTGACGCTGCGCAAACTTAAGGCGGAAGCCTGGAGCGTTGTGTGTGTGTGTGTGTGTGCAACGACATTCAATCTGCCGACGTAGGCAAATAGCAAACTGTTCATGCCTGGCGGGTGCAGCCGAAAAAGGTAGTTCGGCGGATCGTTGTCCCCGTCTTCTTCGCAACTGCCGTGCTGGCTCCAGGGCAGAGCTCTACAGTGGGAGCTCGACCACAACCAGTGACAGCGGTCGCAGGCCTCCATCTTCTGGAGGGGGTCGCTTCATGCTCCTCGCCTTGGTATACAGTGGAGGCCAGTCCACAAGATTCCACAAGAAACCTTCCACAAGAGACCCAACCCTGAGACCCCAGGATGTCCACGGATTTCTGGTACGGGGACGTCGCGGTTTCCATAGTAGAACCATCGAATCCAAAGACGCCCAGGGCACCTTTGAGGCAAGAAACAAATCCTTCCCCAGGTTAAACTGGTCCATTCCCCTGTGAACTGATCCATTCCCTGGTAAAGGTGGTCCATTCGAGAGTCGTCCTCTCGGGGGCGGACTCTAGAGTTCACAGGGGCTCCGCTGGGGGCCCCCGAACCCCAGATTGCAAAACTTCTGATTGGTGGGCACCCAGAGAGCCGGCCGCTGAGTGCTTGTTTTCTGAGAGTCCATGGATTTTGTAGATTCGGGCAATCGGATTTTTGGACACGAAGGCTGGGGGAGCCACAGAGGACTCAGGGCGCTGAGGGTCGATGCTGTGGTCCTGTGAACTCGTATGTGTAATTAAATTTATAAAATGCCCACAAGCGGCCCTCGAGAGCCTCGCAGCCAGGCGCGGACTCTAGAGTCCACTGGGGGCAAACTTGGGCCCCCAGGCGTAACTTTCCAACAACCTCTTTTATTTCTATTCTCGGGAGCCCAAAGACTCTCGGAAAAAATCATTCATCTTCGGTTTGGGGTTTCCGTGGTTTGCGAAACCGAATGTCTCGAAACCCGGATCTGGGAGGGGGGGGTCTGGAAGACTCCTGAGTCCGAGCGGCAATCGTCCGGCTGTGAGTTTCCATACTTCGATAATTCAGGAAACCCATAGGCAATCGGAAAACAGGCACTCAGCGGCTGGCCGTGGGTTTCCATAATTCGCGGCCTGAGATGGTCTCGCGATCAAGCCGAGGGCCCGAAGGGCCCCTTCGAGAGAGAAGCATTATCTTCGACAGGGGCCCCGCGGACATCGGTGCTATCTTGAAGCCGCCAAAGCAGGGAGGGCACGATAACATCGATTACAGCTCCCACCCCAACAGAAGCACCCACAGGAACTGGCTAGAGATGGTCGCCCACATAGACGGCGAAACCATGGCGTGGGTGGTCACAGAAAATGATGGCAGCAGTGGCGGCCTCGTCCAGTGTTCGCTGCGCGCCCGCAGCCACGGCTACGACCGCCAACCCAGCTACTCCGCCTCCGCCAAGCACCGCGGCGGCACAGTGGACCAGAATCTCACGAGCCTCGACTCCGTGGTACCCCGCGAAGATCAAGCGGCCGTGGTTCAACGTGTGCGGAGCCGCGAGCCCGCCCCCCGCGCGCGCGCACCCCGCGTGGGGCCACGCCGAGAGCTGGGGGCAAGGGGCACGCGCAGGCGCTGCAAACAGAGCGACGTCGCAGAGCTAGAAACCACCTCAGCTCGCAGAAGGGGGCAGGGCCGGCCCCAGAGAACAGTGGGGGTACCCCGAGATGCAAGCGCAAGCCGCAGTGGCGGCCTTCAGTCCTCGGAGTCGCAGTTCAACTTCGACGCCCGCGGCGGAGCCGCGCGTGGCAGTGGCCGGCGCGCCGCCGCCCTCTGCTCCCGAAGCGCCGCGACAGCACAGCATCCACGCGACCATTCTTATCGCCATCAGTACGAAGTGTTCGATGATGATGATGCTGGTGGTGGTGGTGGGGATGATGAGGGCGACGCTGATGTCGATGGCCATGGTGATGCTGGTTGTGGGCTTGACGGTGGTGATGCTAATGTTGATGGACTGTTCGATTTCGTTGGTGCTGGTGTTGGTGCTGGTGTTGGCGTTGGTGACGATGATGATGAGGATGATGATGATGCTGATGATGATGATGCTGATGATGATGATGATGATCGTTTCATTGATGATGCTGGTCGCGTTTGCGATGACATTGACGCTGCTGTTTGCGATGTTGATCGTGACGGCGATCGCCCGACGGTGATGGCGACGATGCTGATGATGATGACGATGATGATGGCGATGACGATGATGATGACGATGCCTATTGTTGCGAAGGTACTGGTGATGACGATGACGACGATGATGAGAAGGATGATGATGTTGATGATGATGCTGCTGTTGCTGATGAAGATGATGACAGCCTAACCGCGCTGAGAGGAGCAAATCCAAACGTGATTCGTGCATTGCCAATCGGCCCCCTTCAGAGATCCGTGGGGGCCGTTTCTGAGATCCGTGGCTCCCTTGGCCAGAACTTGAGAAGTGCGCCAGGTTTGCTCATGCAGAAAAATGACAAAAACAGCCAAACAAGATTCAAACATAATCCAGATATAGTCGAAGAATCGTCCCCAGACTATCGTTCGACCATTTTTGAATATTCCTCCTGTAGAGGGATATGCCAGACTTAAACCCACGGTCCCGCCCGAAAGGGGGTCCCCGCGCAGAGGCGCTGGGCACCCCTGGAGGGCAGCGCCGTGCCCCGCTCCGAGAGCCTGTGCTCGCGAGCAGTCTCCCCTCGCTCCTCGGGACGGAAGAAATCGGGCTCCGAGCCGAGCCCTGTAGGCCTCGGAAACAATAGCGAACACGCATGTCACATTCATCGGTCAATGCCTCCCCCTCCTCCTAGTGTTCAAAACTGGCGGTGGGTCTGATGAGTTGCACTTCGACCGCAATCTCCCCCGCGCGTGCCAACTTCGAGTTTTTGGGAGCGGGGGAATGCTCAGGAACTTTTTCGAGACAGGGTCCCCAGAAACCCGGACCTTCAACCCTGAACTGATTCGCTTGGACGGTGCCGGCGCCCGGCAAGGGCCTCCATATAAGGCCGAATCCACGGCGAAGCGCTGCCAGCTTGATCTGTTCCGGGACGCGCTTTCGTTGTAATTCTGGGCTTCGACATGTGGCTGCAAGGTGAGGGGGCGGGTCTAGGTCGGGGCCCGTGCTTCGTGGATCTTCTCCTACCAGTCCCGAGAGCAGAGTTCGGGTGGCGGTCCTGACCAGTCGCCAACACCAGCCACCAGAAGCGACCAAGATCTGGTCTATGGAGGGGGGGGACGGGGTAGAGACCTGGGACCCGCGCCAATCGGCGGAATAATAAAATAGCACAACAATTTCTAAGAGGTCGGCCAAGTCGTGGGACGGCAGACGCACTCATGATAGGATGAGAGATGGTTGATGCACCTTTGCAAACCTCTAGTAATGGGCCAACATTGTAATTGCTTAATTGGGCTACAACTTTTGACCAACTTAAGCCGGGTTGCCTTTTGCAAAGCTCTAGCACCTTTTGGGACTTCCTCCGACTATGGATGACATGAACGAAAATACATGTTCAAAGGAATTTTACAGTAGTCGACCATTGTAGGTGATCTACACGACGTTAAAACAAATCCCCATACTGTTTCTATAGCTATACAATATGTTCTTCTACACGATGCTTTGGCGACGCTCGCATTCGCAGCAGAACCAGACTAGGTCGTTACCCTGGATACTCTTTCCGCGGACGACACGCCTTTCGTAGTTATTCAGTGGCCCTTGGTATTTGCAACAGGTGTTGGACGCAACTATATGGAGGGACACAAACATGGTTTGGAATTTTGTTGGGGCAAGGACGTGAACATCCAAATTTGTAGACATAATACAATTAAACAACCAAATGGGTAACCTATCAAACATGTTCGGGAAACTCGATGCTTTTGAAATCTGTTTGTCCTGAGACGGGCGCGCAGGCCATAAGGTATCCCGGTAGATCGGCGAAAATACAAACTCATACAGGTAACTCAAAGCATGACGGTCTCCTGCGTTAACTGGGAAGCAACTATAATTGCACATACATATATGCAGCTATGGTGTATATAAAGATATGTCAATTGTGTATTGACTATATTTTTCCATTCATTCGACTGGTTGTGGTTTCTCGAACCGGACAGAAACACTTTGAACGCTTTTGATTGTGAATATTTGCGCAAAATCATGGGCATCCCTCATGCGTACTTTCACACATGTTTAAGGCTGCTGTCTTGGAGCTTGCAAAAAATCGCGACCCTGATCTGAACTTCTGTGTGACAAACAAATCCAGCTGCGTAATTCTATTGCCGCGCGACCAAGCCAAGATTTGGTCAGAAAGCTTTTCTGTGATGCGGACGGAAGTCCCAAACAATGGACTCGCCACCGCCGCAGAGGCCGACCAAGACAACAATGGGCGCAATGCGTGTTTGCAATGTCACGATTGCTTTGGTAAGTGAGTCGCACATGCGGAATACCATCATATCGTCATGCATCGTGGTTGCGACGCGTTTGGCTGATTGCTTTGACTGCATCGGGGGCGCGTGTGGCGCACTACCCGAACATTTCAAAAGTCATTCTGCCTACGACTCCACAACGTGCAATGCCCACTGACTGACTGGGAACCCATGCGTTGGAGGTCTGGGACCTGCTTCGGCCCCACGTGGCCTGCGCGGCGACGCGCTGCGCCCCCGGACAATCTGCCAGGGCGCCTTCTTGCACCCGCCGGCCCCCTCCCCGGGGCCCGTGCTTCGACGCGGCTCCACCTCTGACGGCCCCAGGGCGCGATCACGGGCCCTCGCGAGGCCGACATCGAACGAAAACAGCGCTGGGACTGGAGAGAGGCCTCCTAGAGATGGGGTCCGAGCAAATGGAGTCGGAGGACCGCGCCGCATCGCCGATACATCGGCGATGCATCGGCGGTGCACCGGTGATGCATCGTCGATGTCGGCGATGCATCGGCGACGTCGACGTGAAGCAAATTGGGCTGCACACCGAGCCGCATCGGCGATGCATCGGCGATGTGGCGCGATCCTCCGACCCCATCCACTCCGACCCCATCCAGGAGGCCTAGACTGGAACGAGCTCCTCTCGTCGGAGGCTCCGGGCGCCTCGTGCCCGCCGCCGTCCCCGCCCCGCCCTCGCTAGACGAGCGTGTTCCACTGCTCACGAAGTGACTACTCGCAAATGGCCTGAATCCCCCGCGGAGGATCCACGATACATTACATCAGAGCAGACGTGTGTTTTTCGGACGTTTGCGAGTCGGCACTTTGCGAGCAGTGGAACGCGCTCGGTGACTCGCCGCGCGGCGCCGGGCGCGCCTGCCACGCGCACCACGCGGCCCGCAGCAGGGCCGGCGACGCGCGGCCCAGCAGCACCCGCAGCGCGCCGCGCCCCGCGCTGCCCCGCAGCCTGCCGCCCGGGAGGGCGGTGCGTGGCCGCGCTCGGCCCCTCTGGGGGGCCTCGGTCCGACTGCCGGGCAGGCCGGCCTCTGGGGGCCGCAGCCACCTCTTCCTCCTCTTCCTCCTCCTCCTCCTCCTCCTCCCTCCCTCCTCCTCCTCCCTCCTCCTCCTCCTCCTCTCCTCCTCCTCCTCCTCCTCCTCCTCCTCCTCTCCTCCTCATACTCCTCCTCCTCCTCCTAACGATGCGGGGCGAACAAACGCCCGTCCCCGGGGAGTGGGCCAGAGCTCCGAGGACCCCGTGGGCGGACGCGGGTACCTTGTTGGCGTAAACGCCGTAAACAGAAACTTTTTGGCGCTCCGCGCGGGTTTCTTGGATCTGCGCCGACCCCCCCTCCCTGGCGCGCGGAGCGCGCGCCAGGGCCAGCGCCGGAGGCGCCGCTGGGGGAGCGGATCCAAGAAATCCGCGCGGAGCGCCACCAGTTTATGTTTATGGCGTTTTTTCTTCTTCGAGGGAGCCTCTTGGATGCCTCTTCGAGCTATCTTTTTTTGTTGTTGACTCGCCTCTCTGCGATACGATGAATTCTCTGATGCAGGCCGCGCCTCCACCAATAACCTCAACATGCGCGTTCTCTCCTCTCCATCCTCTACACGCCTCGTCCTCCCCCAACCCCACCTCCCACCCACCCACCCGCCTCACATCTGCAGGCTGGTGGCAAGCGGAGCGCAAACAACGGACACCATCCATGCCTTTCAGATTAGGAAGCTCGCTCCATGGGCCAACATTAACTGGCCGTAGGCGCCTGAGCTCGTGTCGAAAAAAATGCTCCTCCATGCTGGGAGGCACTGAGACAGTGTCCCAGGTCCTCAGGAGCCTTCAATCTTCAGCACTCAGTATGGCGCATACGATACAGGGCCGAGACCCCATCAACAACCAGCAATACGCACGTTCGTACAGTATTAACTCTGCAAGGCAATGCTACCTGAAGAAGCTTGCCATTAACAAGGCTAATGCTAACGCGCATGGCACGCATAATAATGTAGCCGCTTCAAACAATCCTCGCCCTCCCTCGGACGCTCTCCCCCAGAACTCCCAAACCCTCGCCTCACGCACTCCCTCTCCTCCTCACTCCCTGCTTTCATGATGACCAAGGCTGCGGTGACGTGGAGACAATTGGTTCACACTCAGACGGTGCAAGAAACTTTCAGCATCTAGATGGCTCGTGCGCTAATTCGGCGCCTCATAGGAACCATTAATGGTGCAGACAGCCGGGCTGGTACGTCACAGGTCTTTCCCAAAAGCACCAATGCACCCTGGGAATGCTGGCCTGTTGCGCTCATTCTGCGAGATGCTGACACAACTCATTGGCGCGCTGGCTGCTCGCAATATGAAGGAAGCACCAGCGCCGAAGCTCGGCTGAGCGCCGTTGATAGGGCCGTGGGCCCGAGAGGCGCTGCTGTCCGCTGGGGTATCCGTTCCGTCCGCAGAGCGGCACGCAGTGAGAGGAAAGAGAAGCGAGAGCATTCGGAGGATGAGGACTAGGATGCAGGCGAGGAGGCCGCAGAAACGGCCCCGTCCCTATGCTCTCAGCCCACGGAAGTCGGGCCCTTCGGCGACCCACGGTGGTGGAGGCGCAGACTCCGCAAGGGCCGCCTGATGGATGCAGTCCACCTGCTGGTCCACGGTCTTGAAGGGGTGCAGCGCCACCGCGCCACTCGAGCAGTCCGCCGAGGGGCGCGAGCCGCAAAGAGCGTCGGACAGGAGCCCCGGATCGTACCTCCGAGCTGCGCTGACGTAGTCCAGGCACATCTGAGTGAAAAGGTCCTCGCCGAACGCGAGGTAGTTGAGACCATTCACCGCCAAGTTCACCTTGCACTCGTCCAGGCCAGCCAGCATGGCGAGCACGGCCCTGCGCGAGAGCACCTCCACGGCGCCGTAGAAGCCCAGGTCGGTCGGGGCTGCCACCTCGCAGTTGCGCATGTAGATGCCCGCTGGCTCGCTGGAGCCCCAGCCTTTGGGAAGCCGGGGCCTGAGGCGCCGCGGCATGAACACCGTATCCGGATCAACCTTCACAGACCAGTCCGTCTCGTTGAAGCACACCTCCTCGGACAGGAGCTGCCATGCGTGCAGGAAGATTCTGGAGTTGATGATGTGCGACAACGTCCCAGCGGGAGCTTGAAGGCTGATCCCCGGAATGATGGTGGTCATAAGCGCGGTCGGAAGTATGCCATACTCCCCGATCTGCATGATCTTGTCACTGAAGACGACGAAAGCGTCGCAGGCAAAAATGCCAGCGCCCGTCCTAAGCTGATTCTGGACAAGCGGGAGCTCGTCCGTGCTCGACTGCATGACCAAGAAGCACATGAGCCCCGACTCCGATCGATTGTGGGCCTCGGCTCGCCTGCACACCGCGCCCTGGCCACCACCGCTGCGGAGGTGCGCGCGGGCCTGTGTGCCCTCCTCCTCCGACGCCTCCTGCCCGGCCTCCCGGAGGCCCAGGGACTCCGCCGAGCCCCGCGGCGCGGCGCCGGCGGCGGCATCGGGGCCCCAGCGCGCCGCCCGCAGGGCCAGCGCGCCCAGCGCGGCCACGGCGACCAGCGCCGCAGCCCGCGGGGGGCCCGCCGGGAGCCCGCCGCGCCGCTGGGCGAGCGGCTCCCAGGCGCCACCGCCCGCGGGGCCCATCGAGCGGCGCGCGCGGCTCCGAGAGCAGCGCGCGGGCGCGCGACGACGGGCTCACATGCGCGCGCGCCCCGGGGCCCACGCCGAGTGGCAGAGGGCCGGCTCGACCTGCGCCAACGTGGCTACGGAAACGCCTCTTCGAGCCATCTCGGCACCCTCGGGTGGCCGGCGAGAGAGAGAACACCTCGGCTGCCTGGGCGCGGCGCCGCTCGGAGGCAGCGGCGGCCCTCCCTCGCGCGCCTCGGCGCCCCCGGACCTCCTGGAGTCTCCTGACCGCCGCGGCGGAAGCCGCCTCGCAATCAAAAAGGGGCATCGCCAAGCGCGTTCTCCACTGAGTCGCAAAGTAGCTGCGGGCACATGGCTTGGAATCGCCGCGGGGGGGTTACGATACAGTTACGTCCAGGCGGACACGTGTTCTCCTCAGGCTCGGACGTCTGCGAGCATGCGCTTTGCGAGTCGTGGAGCGCGCTCGGTGAAGTCGGGACGGAGCCCGAGGGCCCCGGGGACCGAGCCCGAGCGGCTTCTGGGGCGGGGCGGGGGGAGCGCTGGGCGTCGTCTCGGCCGGCTCCAAGAAGGGCCCTGAAGGGCCCCTTTGGGGCCCTTTTCTTTGAAGGTGCCCTGGGACACACAAATAAATACACACAAATAACAGGATCCCCAATATTTTTGTAGATTCTCTGGGTTTTTGTCTTCCCCCCACTTCCCATATTTCCCAATGTTTTCCTGGGAATCGACGATGAATTGTGTCTGTGTGTTTTTCCCCTCCTGATTCTTCGCCCCCCCCATGTGGGCCACCCCCCTATTACCATCCGCCCGAGAGACTCGTGCCGTCCAGCTTGTATCAGGTCGGGCGTGCCCCCCTGCATGCGGCTGTTGGACGAACCATAAGAAGTAGTCAGAACAATTGTCCAAGCATACTCGCAGGTACTAAACAAATCGCCCCCCCACTATTTCTGGACCATTCTTGAGCATTCCTCCTGTAGAGGGAGAGGCCCGACTTCAAGCCTGTCGGCACCTTCGGCCTCTGGAGGCCGGTGTCGGGCCCGGGGGCGCCAGGAAAAAGCGGCTCGGGACGAGGAGCCGGCCGCGAGGAAGCGGTCGAGAGGTCCGGGGGCCGAGGCGCCGAAGGGAAGGGAAGCGCCGGACGTGTGGAGTCCTCCTTCCTCGCTTCGAGGTGCCGTTCCTCCCGCGCCTTCCACTCCAGCTGCTTCTGCTGCTGCTCTTCGTCCTCGTCCTGCCGCGTCCTCCTCTCTCCTCCTCCTCCTCCTCCTCCTCCTCCTCCTCCTCCTCCTCCTCCTCCTCCTCCCCCCTCCTCCCTCCTCCTCCTCCTCCTCCTCCTCCTCCTCCTCCTCCTCCTCCTCCTTCTCCTTCTCCTTCTCCTTCTCCTCCTCATCCTTTTTCTCCTGCTCAGCCTTTTGCTCATCCGCCACCTCCTCCTTCAATGTAACTAACGCAGCTCCTTTGGTTCCCGATGGCGCACAGCACTATGGAGTCCTCTCTGGAGTTCCAGGTCCGCTGTGACACGCGTCGGCGGGTGGAGGCAAAACAGCGCAATGGGAAGAAGGGGTGGGTGGGAGGGGGCAAGGTTAAGTCGGGCCTGTCCCTCTACAGGAGGAATGGTCAAACATAGTAATCAAATAGTATACGGACCAGGGTATTTGTTGCTCATGTTTGAATCTTTTTGGGGTATTTTTATTTTTTCGTCGAAAATCCCCGTGTAGGGGGACATGCCCGACCTAAGGGTCAAGGTGTCAGATATGTCGCGAGGGCACCTGGCTTGGCTCCTCCCACTTCTGTCACTCCTGTCTGCTGGTTTCTCACTGTCACTTGTTCCCCCTGTTTCTCCTCCTCCTCCTCCTCCCTCCCCCTCCTCCTCCTCCTCCTCCTCCTCTTCCTTCCCCCCTCCTCCTCCCTCCTCCCTTCTCCCTCCTCCTGCTCCTCCTCCTCCTCTTCCTCCTCCCTCCTCCTTCTCCTCCTTATCTTCCCTCCTCCTCCTCCTCCTCCTCCTTCTCCTCCTTGCTCCTCCTCCTTGCTCCTCCTCCCTGCTCCTCCTCCTTCTTCTCCCTCCCTGGAGGGAGAGCGGAGGCGAGGGGGTGGTCGGGGGAGAATGAAGATGGCGGCGAAAAAGGTTGTTGGGGATAGCTGGGGGCCGCGTTTCCAAGCAATGCTCACTCTCTCTCGCTCTCTTTTTCTGTTCTCTCTCTCTCTGTATATATATATATATAGATGTCTATCTGTATGTATAGGTTTCTCTGTCCCTGTCTCTGTTTGTCTCTGTCTCTGTCTGTTTCTGTCTCTGTCTGTGTCCCGGTCTCTGTCTCTGTGTCTGTCCCTGTCCCAGTCTGTCTGTCTGGATCTCTCTAGCTCTCTCTCTCTCTCTCTCTCTCTCTCTCTCCCCTCACTCTCCCGAGCTCTCTCCTGGTATCGAGTCTCCCTGAGGAGAAGGCACACATTCTATATTTCATACTCGATCTGTATTTCATGGACCCCCTCCATTTCGGTGCTTGGGGGGGGGGGAAGAGGCATGGGGCGGAATGATGGGGGTGACACAGGGCGCATCTGTCCTTGGCCACTTGGGACCCGAGATCGGTGGTCGACAACGGCGTGTGCTGCTCAGAAGCCCTGGAGGTGGCTACAGCCGTGCACTGAAATGTGTTTTTACCGGGGAGAACCACCAGAATAAGAGGGGGAAAAGTAAAAGCGTGGGGCCGGGGAAGAGGCGGGTCGAGGTGTGGGGAGGACAGGGTTGCCGACGCCTTCTCTCTCCGAGGCCCATCGGCCCCGGCTACAGATGGTCGGTCCAGGCCCTAAGGCGGGTGCCAGTGAGGGTGGCGGGAGCATATGGGAAAGGAGAGTCAGAGGTGGGCCTCGAGGACAGTGAACGAGTCGGGAGGATAGATGTCATTCTGAATGCTCGCGGGGACACTACGGGCACAAGCGTGCAGCCACAACATATAGATAGGCCCAGCAGAGCAAATCCGATGGGGCCCATACGGGCCCGACCCGAACCCGATCGGAGCCAGGAGCGCCCCAGAGTCAGGAAACGGCAGGCCCCACAAGGGGCCGCGAGAGCGAGGAAAGGGCGAGGGCAGCAACGGCCTAATTTGTGACTCACGGCTCCAGAGAGCTGATGAGAAACCAAATTGAACATGAGCAAGACTCTTGATCATGAGCAACGTCCACTTGTCAAGTACCTGCTGGCACAGTCGAGGCGCGAGGTCAAAAGCGAGAGAAGGGAGGGTGGGCTGGGCGCCTTTTGGAACCAACCCCTCCCGCTCCGAATTAAGTTCGCGAGGTGGATATTACTATGACTGCTAGCGTAGACATTACGGGAACTGGCGTGCAGCCACGACATATATATATATATATATATATATATATGTATATATATATATATATATACATACACACATATACAGACATGCGAACATACATACATAGAGGCCCAGGAGAACAGAGGGGAGGGAAAAGAGACCGAGCGGGCCCACACGGGCCCGACCCGAGCCGAGAAGCAACGAGAACGCCCGCGAACCTACAAGCTCGGCCCCGAAATGCTCAGACTTCCCTCCTCGTCACGGGCGCGGCCTGACCGACCCCTGGCAAACCATCCCCTTCCGTGACGACATCCTCGCCTTTCGAACTCCCCCTCCGGCCGCATACATACGTCTTGGGACGAGGCGAGGGGGACGTCACGGAAAGGGATGGTTTGCTAGGGGTCGGTTAGGCCGCCCCTGATCGTCTCTTAGAACAACAACAGTTTCCTTAGAACACAAGCCCGACGAGTTAAAACAGGACGGTCTCAGCCAGAACTGTTCTAAGAACACTACGCAAACACACACACACACACACACGCCACAAAAGGCTCTTAGAGAACATTATTCGTGCGGTGGGCTTCTAGGCGAGCATGAACGATTCGTCACTGCTCCTCCTCCTCCTCCTCCTCCTCCTCCTCCTCCTTCCCCTCCTCCTCCTCCTCCTCCTCCTCCTCCTCCTCCTCCTCCTCCTCCTTCTCCTCCTCGTCGCGCCGCCGAGAAATGCCCCCCCTCCCCCCATGCGGTGGGCGTGGAGGGTCCAGAGAGGCCCGCCCCCTGGCCGGCCTGCGGCTCCGCGAGGCCCGCGCGTGCGCCCGCCACGCGCTCCAGGGCAGGCGGTGCTCGGGGGGGGATGGACAGGCAGGGGGGGGGGCCTCTGCAGCGCATGGGGCGGGTCACGGGGGAGGTCCAGGGGCGTCCCCGCATCGGTGAATGTGGGTAGACTTCGGGGGCGGCCCAAAGGGGGGTGATGGCAAGGGGGGGATATCATGGCGGACGCCATGATCATTACGGTGGAGGGAAACAATTAGTGAACCCCCCCCCTGCCCCCGAAACTCAAAGTTGGCACGCGGGGGGGAGACTGCGGTCGAGGTGCAACTCATCAGACCCACCGCCAACTTTGAACATTGGGGGAAGGGGGGGGCGTTCACAGACGAATGTGGCATGAGTGTTCGCTAATTTTTTCCGAGGCCTGTATTTCCTCAGATTTCATGGCGCCTCTTCTTATTTGAAGATGTCTCCGGCCCCCCCCTGGGCCGCGCACGTGCCGCTGGCCATGATTTGCGCCCCCCCTCTTGGATGGGGCGGGTTACAGTAGGGGCCCGACCACAAGAAACTTCCCACAAGAAACCCAACCCTTAGACCCCAGGACGTCTCTCGGTTTTTGGTATGGGAACGTCACGCTATCCATGGCAGAACCATCAAAGCCCAAGACACCCAGGGCACCCTGGAGGCAAGCAAGGGGTTTCTTGGCATGGGTTTCCATTGTAGGGGGAGGTCTAGGATCGTTCCCGCATCGGTGAATGTGCTCGGGGTGCTCGGGGCGGATGGGCAGGCGGGGGGGGGGTCTGCAGCGCATGGGGCGGGCTAGGAAGGCGTCCTAAATAGGGTCGGAGTAGATGGGGTCGGAGGATCGCGCCGCATCGCCGATGCATCGGCGATGCATCGGCGATGCGGCGCGATGTGGAGCCT